TCCCCATTTTCTACATCGCCCTACTTTTGCTAAGAAGCACGTTCAACGCGGACGCACAGACGGTTGTCGTGGTAATGAACACCACAGCAACCACTTGTGCGTCAGCACTGAACGCGCATCTCGCATATAAAAAGCATTTTAGGGGGTCCTTGGCTTTTGGGGGCCCAAGGTAGTCGCCTACCTTTGCCTAATGGTTAAGTCCGCCTCTGATTCTACATTTATGTAATGTAATGTTGGTAGTTTCAGAATTTGTTGTGGTTATATGGGGTGGCCTCGATGAGTGTGACTTGAGATGAGTGTGTCCTTTTTTCTTTTACCTTTACATTGCTCTTGGTAATACTTGATTCTAACTGAACAATTGTGGAATTGTTAATAATAAATAATACAGTAATAAATATTACTCAAGTGTAGTAATGAAATACTTTACACCTCTGTTAAAACGTCAGATCTTGCTCAGGTGATGCGAGTTCTTGATAAAAATATAAGAACAAAGCTTCTTATTATATTTCATTTCAGTTGATAAATGAGCATCCTGAGCATGTGCACCTGGTCACTGGCCGTCAGGCAGATTGGAAACAGATCTCTGAGGAAAAAGCGAGGCATGTTGTCAAGGATCAGACCATAAAGTGGCAGATACAGAGAGGCTATCCGTGCCTGTTTCTCCTACACACACAAACACAATACAGTTAAAATCAGTTCACAGACTAACATAAATGGTGCACAACAACTATATACTTTAAGTGTTATCACTGTCAAAATTCACCTTTATGGCATAACGGGAGTCCAGTGAATGTTTAGCCATGAGGTTCTTCAGGCAGGCCAGGGCGAGGTGTCTCAGGTCTTGCTCGTCTTGCAAAGCGAGCCCCAGCTCTCTCAACAACAATCCTGTGAGAAAATGTTTCCTGCAGAACTCTTCCGTCAAAATATACTCTGGAAAGTCCACTGAGAAATAAGAAACCACATAACTGATCACTATGCGCAGTGTGACAATGCATTTATTTTGTGAGTGAACATGTTTACTGAGATAGAATATGTATTTGAGTTGTCAGGTAACCTCATCATGGCAGCACAATGTGACTATATGACTGGAGTCTTGCTATACGTTACAGAGTATGCTGTAAGTTATTGAAACTTAGCTCTAACGGAGGGGAAGATTTTCTGTAAAATCAAATTCAATTTCTGTTTATTTGTCATACAATGTTTGACACAAAGACTTGGAATATACTGCAGGAGTGCATCTTTCAACAGATACTGAGAGCAGTAGAAGGACACTGAATCACAAACATAAAAAAGATTGTCCTAATAGATCAGTACCTTACTTTTACTCAACTGGAGCAATTAAACAGCAGCAATATTTTAACTGGACTCCCGTACTTTAAATGTTGAATGTTTTTGTCCATACTATGAAAGTAAATTGAGTTTCAAAAAGTTAACGTACAGGTAATCCAAGTCTTCTGAAGCTATATAATCACTTTGTCTCGAATCAAATACAATCACTTTGTCTAAAAAAAAAATAAAAATACGATCATTTTGTTTTAAATGAAATCAGTGTCATGATCCTGTGTTTTTGTGCTCTTGGTTTAAGTGGTCTTTCAATCTGTAGTTTTAGTTCCTGTTACACAATTTTTTTTTTTTTTCACTGAACTGATCTTCTCATTCAAGTACATGATATTTGTACTTCATCCACTGCAATTAAACAGCAGCAATATTTTAACTGGACTCCCGTACTTTAAATGTTGAATGTTTTTGTCCATACTATGAAAGTAAATTGAGTTTCAAAAAGTTAACGTACAGGTAATCCAAGTCTTCTGAAGCTATATAATCACTTTGTCTCGAATCAAATACAATCACTTTGTCTAAAAAAAAAATAAAAATACGATCATTTTGTTTTAAATGAAATCAGTGTCATGATCCTGTGTTTTTGTGCTCTTGGTTTAAGTGGTCTTTCAATCTGTAGTTTTAGTTCCTGTTACACAATTTTTTTTTTTTTTTCACTGAACTGATCTTCTCATTCAAGTACATGATATTTGTACTTCATCCACTCATACAGATATGAGATTTTTCAACCCGTTCTCACTCCCAGGGTTGAATTTTATTATCAATCAGACTGAAAACTGCATTAAACTGCCACAGAAAACTTTACAAATAAGTAAAATAAGTTCAGTAAAAAACACTTAATAGTTACCCTGAGCACTTTGGGTTTCCGGTGATGCCTTGTCTGACAGAGAGAAATGAGACAGACAGAAAATCAGGGGGTGTGGTCTACAGTATGCTAATTAGGACTACAATGCAAGCGTGAAGTTTTGCGACACATGAGACACAAAGAGGTGGAGCTCGTGGTGCTCCCTGACCTGTGATTCGTGCAGATGGGATGGGAAGACTCAGAGGGACATAGTGCTCATAGTTACATACTTCCCTTATGAACTCAAACTTCAGCTCACACAGCATCTGGAAAAACAACATTTGCACCCAAAACACGTTGTGCACACACACACACACACACACACACACACACATCATATAAATTCAGCATTTTTAATAAGTAAATAAATACACACACACACAAACACACACACACACACACACACAAACACACACACAAACACACACACACAAACACACACACACACACACCCACACACACACACAAACACACACACGCAAGCGGTTCTTTAGTGATAAACTTTGCAACACAGAGACGGTCAAAGAATTCAACAGCCAGACAAAACACACATAAATGATGCATAAATACATGTCAGTCATTACATAACAAAAGTTCATCATAACCAGGATCTTTTAATGTGTAGTGTCACTGTTTTAATGCTACAGCCGTGGCCACACTAGACTTTGAGCATGCAAATACTGCATCTTCTTACAATGAACAGGATATGATGTCACATTCTAGGGCTTGTGCTTTGACATCTGTGCTGTTTGTATTAAATCAAGAGGTCAGTCAATCACGTTCAGATCCTCTATTGTTCACACATGCTCACGTCTAGTGTTACCACGGCTTAAGAGATACAGAAAAGTGAGAAAGTTTAGCTCAGGTACCTTATTGTCACTGGCTGTGATCATGTTTATGTAGTTACTGATCAGTTTGAAGGTGAAACCTCTGTCCATGAATGTGAAGCACCGCTGAGGACGGGAAATGCATATCTTTTAATTGATCACAGAAACAAGTTTATAACATTATTATGAACTATTCAGGCTGTCCAATTTCAAATGCATGTACAGTACACTATCACACACAAAATACATAAACCTATTTATGTTCATTAAAATTAGTCCTGCATCTAATTTAATTATTTACTTCATTATGCACATATTTACAACATTTAAAAGTCTTAATTATCTCAGTTGTAGTGTGCTGTGTGACCTTCACAAAGGCCGCTATGGCCATATTAGCGCTGCGTGTCTCCTCTGCCAGCTCTTTATTCTTCCAGAAGATGTGATCGGACATCGTCATGATCAGGGTCTCCAATCGACTCTGGAAAGTGCCAGGAAATCGCTGCGGTCGAGGAAGCTGAGCAAACACATTTGTTACACATTTCTTATTAAATAAACAAGTTTAACAGCGTGAAAGACACAGAAGCGGTTCTGTGCAAGTCACTTGATGTGCAGAAAAAACGTCTCAAAACATCTTTTATTTATTCCGTTTTATTCAGATTTGTTGGTTATACAAGGAAAATGGTAAAAGGTGATCAACAGCTGCAGAAAAGTGTGAACATAGGTCAAATACTACAGGTGCAACAGCTACAAATGAGAGAAAAAATTCTGTGGAAAGTAAAGTCTGAGTATTTACAGCAATACAGAGTTTAGGGCTGTATTGAGCATTTATAGAAAACCCAGTTTGATTTATAAATGCTTATTTAAATCACCAGATACACGATTAGTAGCACTGTCTTGCTTTTCGGTGTATTTTACATTTAAGCTTATGTCAAAAGTTTATTTAAAATCAAACCAAGAGTTCTGAATGTGGTCACACTTTAGTTTGTGGAGCATTTCTTGCTATTAACTATGACCTTTGCCTTAATAAACTCCTAATTACTGCTTATTAATAGTCAGTAAGATAGTTAAGTTTAGGTATGGAGTTTAAGGATTAAGGGATCTAAAATATGGCCTTGCAGAATAATGCATTAAGATGTGCTTTATAAGTACTAATAGTAATATGCATACTAATAAACAACTGAGAATTGCTCCTCTCAAACTATAGCGTGACCCTTATTATAAGTCATTATTTTAGGCTGACCGACTATTGTTAAAATTTCAACAACAAAAAAAAGAATAGGATGAATAAAGCATGAATTCACGTCTGCTGACTCAGTATTTACCTTAAGCTTATTTGAGTCCAGCAGATGCTGCGCCATCGACTGCACTATGATCTCGAGAAGGAACCACGAGAACTGCAGGGAACCCAACAGATATCAGTCGACAGGCTTAAAAACAGCCCATGACTTCTGTAAGAGAGAGATGGTGATGTTAGCTCACCTTGAGGATATTGCGTATGATCGACTGGTCGTTGCTCTTCAGGTCAGAGGTCATGCCCTTGGCCAACTCTTCGTGAACCGTTCTGAAGCCACACGCTTCAGTCTTAAAGACAAACTGGATAAACAAAAGAGAAACACATCCGACATGTTTCCACAAGAACAAAAACAAAGCCTTTACCGTCTCTGCACCAGCAACTTTATTTTCCCTGCTAGATCATTTCTTCAGATATGTCATATGTCGATATGTGCATTTAAAAGAAATTGGATTTTAAATTCAAGACTCAACATTTTAAAGCTTTAAAATGTAAACTGCAAGAATCTGGCTTCAACCGTGCCTAGCTATTGGCAGCAACATGCATGAGTGAAATGATACATCGGCACAGTTAGGATTGTGCCATATAATGTACCTTTATGTAAGAGTGCAAATAGTGGCCCAGGTTCTCCTCGTGGCACTTAGCTAAGATGTGGACCAGGACCCTGATGGAAAAGAGGTTTACATGTAATGTTAAAGTGAGAGTTGTTGACTGAGTGCGTTCAGAAGAGCGAGTGATGGGTTTTGTACCTGGTGGTGCTGGTGGACACTTCGTCAGTGTCGTTTTGAGTGAGCACTTTAAAGAGCTGGTTGAAGATAACAGGAAGGAAGCGAATTATGACATGAATCCTCTCCATACTCAAGAGGCCCTGAGAGGACAAAAAAGAGTTCATATAAAGATATGGACTGAATATTCACCTAAAAACGTTGAGGAATTTTCACAGGCATTATTCAAACATATTTGTGACCCTGGAGCACAAAAGCAGTCTTAAGTCGCTGGGGTATATTTGTAGCAATAGCCAACAATACATTGTATGTGTCAAAATTATTTTCTTTTATGCCAAAAATCATTAGGATATTAAGTAAAGATCATGTTCCATGAAGATATTTTGTAAATTTCCTACCGTAAATATATCAAAACTTAATTTTTGATGAGTAATATGCATTGCTAAGAACTTCATTTGGACAACTTTAAAGATGATTTTCTCAATATTTAGATTTTTTTGCACCCTCAGATTCCAGATTTTCAAATAGTTGTATCTCGGTCAAATATTGTCCTATCCTAACAAACCATACATCAATGGAAAACTCATTTATTCAGCTTTCAGATGATGTATAAATCTCAATTTCGAAAAATTGACCCTTATGACTGGTTTTGCGGTCTAGGGTCACATATGATGAATATTAAAAATGTGCATTTTGATTTCACTTCAGAAAATTCAAAGAGAGAGAGAGAGAGAGAGAGAGAGAGAAACAGTGTAGAATAGCAAAACACACAATATATATGCGTTGCTTAAAAAAAAGAAGCCTAAATTTAAGCAAATTGCACAGTTTGGTCCCTGTCTTTAACTGGATCTTGATCTTAAGTGGATCTTGACTTTACGTAATACACATTTTGCAATCAGCTACATGTCTTTCTCTGGATAATATATTTATGAATATGTATAAAATGGGTTGCATTTTTAATTATAATTCCGTTTTGACAGATTTTCAGCCCCCAGTTAAGGCCCTGAACACACTTACTTTAAGGCAGTTGAGGAAGTTTGAGGTAGGAGCTTGAGAGAGGTCTGCCTCTCGTTTTTGGCACTGCTGGAAGAAGCGGTTTAGATGGGGGTCCTGCAAAAATAACAAAAAAACACACGGGAATTATGAAATCACAAAACATGAGCAAGATAACTGTAAATTTTAATCTGAGACTGTGGCTCTTTTTAACCTGAGTATAAACTGTAGAAAGCACCAAAGTGGACACTTTGAAGATCGGCTTCCCCCCATCGACCCACTTCACATCCGAGCCATTCTGCAAGAAAAATATGAAAAACAAACTACTATAATATCTCGCATGTGAATCATCATTATTTGTCTTTGGGTCTCCTGTTTTGAAACATTCCAGGACTTTTTTTTACAGCTTTTATTCTTATGTAATATCAACATGTATTGATAGGCTGTAATGTGGTGTTTTGGGTTGTGTTTCTTGTTCATGTTTTCATGTCTTTTATTTTGGAGTTTAGTCATGGTCCCTGTTTGTGTCATGCTTCCCTTGCCCTCATGTATTCATGCCATTGGTTCTCTTGTTCATTGTGTCATGTGTCTTGTTTCCCATTTGAGTGGATCTGCTTTCACTGTGGGTGTCATGGAGGAGGAACATGACACTTCCCCAAAGCCTGTTCACGTCATGCCTGCCAAGCCAAGGTCTGCTCACATCATGTCTGCCAAGCCACAGCCTGTTCACGTCACGCCTGCCAAGCCCCAGCCTGCACACATCATGACTGCTACGGCAAAGCCTGCTCACGTCATGCCCGCTACTCCAGGACCTGCTCTTCATCATGCCAGTTAAGTTAAAGTTTACTCATGTCATGTCTACCACGTCAAAACCTGTTCACTTCATGTCTGCCAAGCCAGAGTCTGCTAACATCATGTCTGCTACCCCAGGGCCACTCCAGAACCTCCCGAGGCGGAGGCCGTTCATGAGCTCTCTGCCTGTCCTGTCACGGCCAAGGAGGCTGTCCATGAACTCTCTGCCTGTCCTGTAACGGCCATGGAGGCCGTTCATGAACTCGCTGTCTGTCCTGTCACAGCCACAGAGGCCGTTCACGAATTCACAGACTGCCTTGTCACGGCCAAGGAGGTTGTCCATGAACTCACTGTCTGCCCTGTCACGGCCACAGAGGCCGTTCACGAACTCACAGACTGCCTTGTCACGGCCAAGGAGGCTGTTCATGAACTCTTTGCTTGTCCTGTCATGGCCACAAAGGCCGTTCATGAACTCACTGTCTGTCCTGCCACGGCCAAGGAGGCCGTTCATGAACTCACAGTCTGCCCTGTCACAGCCATGGAGGCCGTTCATGAACTCACTGTCTGTCCTTTCACGGCCAAGGAGGCCATTCAAGAACTCTCTGCTTGCTCCGTCACAGTCAAGTGGTCTGTCCATGCCTCTGCTCCGCCATTGCTTCCTGCTCTGCCGTCATCACCCGGCCACCGTGTTCTGCCTGCTCCACCATGGTTCCCTGATCTGCCTGCTCCGCCATGGCTGCCCGATCTGCCTGCTCTATGTAATGTGGTGTTTTGGGTTGTGTTTCTTGTTCATGTTTTCATGTCTTTTATTTTGGAGTTTAGTCATGGTCCCTGTTTGTGTCATGCTTCCCTTGCCCTCATGTATTCACGCCATTGGTTCTCTTGTTCATTGTGTCATGTGACCCTTCTTGTTTGCTATAAGTAGCCCTCATGTTGCCATTGTCTCTTGTCGTGTATTGATGTTGTAACCTGCTGTCGGTGAGTCTAGTCTGTTTCATGCCTCGTCAAGTTAAGTCAAGTCTGTTCATGTCAAGTCAAGTCTCGGATTATTGTTTGGATCACTCTGTAAATAAACTGCACTTGGGTTCTTCACTACACTCGCCTTCAGTGGATTGATTCGTTACATAGGCAGTGTTACAGAAAGTTACTTTTAAAAGTAATGCATTACAATATCGTGTTACTCCATAGAAAGTAACTAATGGTGTTACTTTTTATGGAAAGTAATGCATTAGGTTACTTTTTTGTTACTTTTTGTCACCTGGGCTGGGCTTGCTTTTTTGTTTTTTTAATAACAAAAAAAATCAAAAGTTATATTTTTGGCAACTGTAAGGGCCCTTTCACACCAAAAGTTAAATTTAATAAGCCTCAGGCTGAAGGAAGTGCCTCTGCACCTCACTCCCAATTTCTTTCTACACCGGGACAGGAGACCTGTCAGTGAACAAATGGGAAAACAAAGCAACTGGTGTTACTTATTTGCAAAAGTAACTCAGATATTTCATTTTAAATTTTAAAGTTTGCATTACTTTACTAGTTACTTGAAAAACGTAATCTGATTACGTAACTCACGTCACTTGCGATGCGTTACTGTTGACGGGTTTTAGGATGGGTATAAATGTACATGACATATGTCCAAAAATATATTACACATACATATATATTTGAATGGGCTAGATATACAGTATATGTTAATATATGAAATTATTAAAATTTCTTATAGGTTTCATATATGTTTTTACTTCATATGACCACATACTTCATATATGGAAGTGTAATATATGTACATATATTACATTTGCATATGGGGCTACAACAAATATAATTTTTGCATTCCCATTTGCTCCAACAGAAAAAAAAAAATCCACAACTTTCCCCCCAAAAATATCGAAATTTTCATTACATTGGCCAGAAGATAGAAATGTCAAATTTGCTATCACTCTATTAGAAATAGCTTTTATGTAATTGAATGCCAAGGTTATATAACACAAAGTATAGAGATATAAATGTACATTCATTTTTTGCTACAGATTTATGATGTTAATAACTCCGGAAGCTTCATAACTGTCTGTGAAAATGGTCTGTTCTGATTTTTAGTTTATGTGACCTATAAAGCTGCCTTTTCACTGCCATCATCATCATCATACTTATATCTGTATTCATCTATTTTCTTTTTCTAAACTGTCTGTTTCTATGTTTTTCTGGATTCTTGCACTCACTTTGGTGGATGAGGGCTCTTTAATGTGTAGATATCCACCAGGCAAAGTGCACGAGACTGGAATACTGAAATCCTGAGAGGAAACACGTCCATCCTTCAGAAGAGGCAGCCATGCATAGCCCACTGTAACATACACACACACACTGTCAGAGCACTATACACACACACACATTGTCAGAGCACTACACACACACACACACACACACACACACACTGTCAGAGCACTACACACACACACACACACACACACACACACAGCACAGCACAGGATAACGTGCATGTGCAGATACCTGGAGTCTCAAGAGCCTCTTTCTTCTTAGAGCTGGTCTTGGCATTGATGTCACAGGTCACATGATAGAAGGAGAAGAGTAAATGGTGTTTCTCATGAAGATGTGTGGGCAGCTCAATCTTCACCTGAACAAGCATATCATAACAAACCGTAAAAGACCCATAACTTTCATCTGAACGTAATCTACAAAAGCTGCTAAAGCACTTGAAAATAATATTTTGCAAACCTCATCACAAAAGTCTGGGTTCTGTGAGTGATGCAGAACTGTGGAACAGGCAGTCGTGGTAAAAACTGGACCTCCTGGCTTTCCGTAGATGCACTGTGGAAAAGGATTTACAGCATTTATATTTGCGAGTCAAATTTTAAAGCAGATGTTGGTGGAAACTGATGGAAACTTGTGTTATGTTACCTTAAGTGGCTTGGCATGTTCTTCATCAGAGCTTCTGAACTCCACGTAAACGGCGATGTTTCGAGCCTAAAACAAGAACAGACATGGCATGACTGTACACTGCATGTTAACGAACGAAGACCAAAACAATCTAAACGGAGCACATCTGAATCCTTCATTAGACCTCAAGCAACTTCAGCATGATCAGTCACTCCATAGCGGCCGGTCAGAAGTTAAAACTTAATTGTGGTGTAAAATATCTAAGCCAGTACTGCACCAATAAAAAATGGCATAACTATTAGGGCTAGGTAAAAAAATATAGATATCTCAATTTTAATCGATTCTCATTTTTTCGAAACGATATCGATTCTTAAATCCCAAGAATCGATTAGTCTATCCTGTTTTCAGTCCCATCCAATAAATCGCAATAAGAATTGTGCTTTGGTACTTTTAATATGAAACAAAGTCTCAGATTTAAAATTCTGTCCATTGTATTGCAGTATTCAAACAGTAAATGCCGTTTTGGCGCTGTTTAATGTGAAGTGACAGATCGCTGGAGCGCCTCAGATCAACAGAGGCACGTGAACTGATCATCTCCTCCATATTAATACCAGCTTCAACACAAAATAAACATGACTAAACATCCGAAGGTAAGTTAAAAGAAAGAGTACAACTTTACAATCCGTATCCTGTCTCATGTAATCGCGCAATCAGTGTTTCAGCCGCGCAAAGACGTCAATATAACGGCTTGTATGTCACATAACGTCACATTTACCTCAGAAAAACATATTCGGTGACCATAAACTCATTAATCATATAGAAAAATAAACTGTAGAGAGGGACATTTTGCTAAATATATGCACCATATAACATATTTTAAGTTTTACTGTTCTTCAATGTTTAATTTGTTTAAATAAATCAGTTTTTAGTTTTTTTTTATAAAAAAGTTTTTATGGCAGCCACGATTTAAATGTTTATGTTTCAAAAAAATGAATTGAAGTAGAAATATTATTATGTAATTGTAACTTTATTATTATAAAAACTTCATTAAGTGTAATTTAAGCAGTTGTATAGCCTAAACATCAGTCAATTTTAACCTTCAATATTATAATGTAGTACGAACTGACTTATGTATATTTTACAGCATTAGTTGAGAGATTTTTATATACATATATACAGTATATATATATATATATATATATCTTAGGTATATCTAGAATGCTAGATCTCCGCTGTGCGTCAGGTGGTTCTTTGCCGCTGTCATGACGAGAATACTTAACGATGCATGCATTAAATAATTTAATGCACAGTTAGCCGTAGATTACATAAATTACAATATAATTATTTTGTATTGTTCGAGTTAACAGCTGGTTTATTTATTTACTTATTTGTTTATTTATTTTTGAAAAATGAACAAGAAATTGAACGTCTGAAATGACATCAATAAATAATAATAATAATAATAATAATAAAATATAGTAAAAATATATATATAATAAAATATAGCCTATATAAAAAATATATACAAGTACTAAACTGCTTAGTCAACCTCAGTGGCGTAGCAAGTCAGCCCCGGGCCCATATGCAAAAAAAAATTCCCCCCCAAACATTATGGGCTTCAACTCAGTTAACTTAACTTAGGCCCTATTGTTGATTTTTCTGAAGTAAATAACGTTACATGAATCGTGACTATTCACAAGCTGTTTTA